TTTACTGCAGCAGTAGCTGCTTCATGTATAAGCCAAAGTCAGCCGAGATTAGAAAACAATATAAATCTGGATGATTTATTTTACGCAGATCACTCACACAGCCATCTACAGTTAGGCCTGTAAATATTTGTACAATGATGCATTACATAAAGACTCGCATAATAGCCACGTAAATAAGTAGAAGTAGACTTTCAGTTTTAATTCAAGAGGTTCAAAGAAAGGTATTGCTTGAAGTCTTTCTGCATATTCATGTGATACAAAGTCACCTGTTTCCAGAGGCTTAAATGTGGACAGTTGACTGACAAGCAGTTACATGCCTGAGTAAAACCTGTTCCTTCATTGTTCTATGACAATGGCAGATAAAAGATCTGAAGCTGATTCCAAGTATTGAACTAGTTCACTGGTATTCTGAATTCCCAAGATGTGGTGATGAAGAAGGCGGAAAGACTGGAGATTGTTTGACTGGATAACCTCAAAAAAATGAGAGACTTTAGTAGTTGCAAAATCAGTAATCTGGACCAATTTTTAAAATAATGAATGGATTGACCAGCTTAGTAACACCGAAACACCTGAGAAACCACAGAAGATGACCAAAGTGAACTACAGTATAATTATGTCCTTGGTTCAGAAAAGTCCTTCACAACAACTAAACAAGTCAAAAACAGTACTGAGGAGGTATTCATCAAAATCTTCAATCAAGAGATGCCTTCATAAATGTAAACACAGAATCATATTTTAATCTGTGATCACGCTGAAAACCAGGAAGGCCAGAGTAGACTTTGCCAGAAAACGTCTAAAAGAGCCGGCACCGTTCTGAAAACCGCACAAGATTCACTTATTCACAAGAATATGGAGAAGCAAAGAAGACACTTCATCATCTGAAGCATACCACGTTATCTGTCATGGTGGAGGTGATGTTGTGGCATGGGCACAAATGGCTGCAAGGGGAACCTGGTCACTAGTGTTTATTTGATGATGTGATGGCTGAATCTGAGCAGGATGAACTCCTGCTCAGATTCAGCTAAATGCTGCAAAAGAGAACCTCACAGTGGGTTCTAGACTTCAGGAGGTCACTGATTGCATATTTATTGTCATCCAAGTGTTAAAAGCAATCATTATCTTTAACATTATATTAGTTTGCTGGATTACTTTTGAGCTTCTGAAAACTTGGGCTGTAATTGCTAAACAGTGCCAGAACTGGAAATGTCTGTCATATCTTGATGGTTTGATTTAAAATCCACTGTCCTGGTGTAAAAAAAGTCAAATTCCACAAAAACGTGACTTTTCAAGAAAAAAATCTTGTGAAATGAAACTGTGCCTTTAAACACTCTGTGCATTTACGGGCTTCACAGAACCACTCCCATGCTTTCTTTCCCTTCCTCACATGTCCATATGTTATTGTGTCTGTGTGTACATGTGATACTTTCTGAGTCACCGTATCTCTTTGGATACAGTGACTCACAACGCACTTGCAGGTCTCGTTTTATCTCTG